TTTTAAACTTATTTTATTGAAATAAATCTATTTATATATGTTTTATTTATTATATATATGAAAAAATTATTTAAATAAATGTATATAAAAACTATTAAATATGGAAAAAATATCAACAAAAATCATCACTAAACAGTCACAATCCAACATATGTGAAGAAAAAAATTTAAATACAGATCTTTTATAATGGAGAGAAGAAAATAAATTAAAAAAGATTGATTTTTGATAATAAAAATCAGAGCAGAGTATCTTGTGAGGATGAAGGAGGAAGCATGGAGAGGAATGAGAAAAAAATGTTACTTATATATTTTTAATTTTGAGTAATAATGTAGTTGTAACTAAGAGAGAGGTACATATGTGCTTAAGTAAGCCACATATCCACGTGGATTTCACGTCACTATATTTCAAAATAAATTAACGATGTGAAAGACATTTTGTAACTTAAAAGTTCTCACTCCACCAATCAAAATTTTCCACCTACACTTTTTTACTTTTAAAAAAAGGGTTAAATATGTTTTTGATCACTTTAAAAATCTCAAATTTCATTTTTAGTCCCTGTTAAAAAATGATATAGTTTAGTTTCGATAAAAATTTTATTCATACAGTTTTAGTCTCTGTTACTTTCTAAAATTTGAAAACTATTTAGTTACCTTTAATTTTTTAATTTTTGAGTAATTTTTTTCCTAAGTGTTTATAATACTTACTATAAAGGGTTAATAGTCAATTCGCCCCTACCATATAGGCGAGTTTTGAAAAATCCACTGTAAAAAAAATTAGATTCCCCCAATATTTTGTAGATTCTCTTGTTTTAGTCCCTCATGATACTCAATCATCAAAAATTTTGACGTGTCATGGATTACGTGGCTTTTTTAATACTTTTTTATATTTTTTAAATTCCATGTGGATTATCTATTTCTATTTCAATTTATTTTTAATAAATTCAAAATTTCTTCATCATCTTCATCTTCCCTCTTCTTCATCTTCTTCTTTGCCCTTTCCTTTTTTCATTTCTACTCAAGGTCATAAAATATGCCATGAGTGAATAAGCTTGAGGCTTATACTTTCTATCCAAAATTAGATCAATCTTAGCCAGCACCCCAATTCCATAGAGAAAGTATCCTAAATGATAATGATGATCGTTATAAATTCGAAATTCAAAATCAACATTTATAGAACAAGTTTTCATCTTCCCTTATCAACAATCAAGTCGTTCTCTCTCTCTCTCTCTCTCTCTCTCACACACACACACACACACACACACACACACACACAACACGAAAAAACAAAGAAAACAAAGCATATTTTCAGCGAAACCCGCGGCAGTTGATGGTGGTTCAACGCTAGCGCCAACTCAAATCAACAAAATCTCAACCTCGAACCCCCTTGTTTTTTTGCATAGAGCATGAATCTAGCCTCATATTTTCCTAACCCCCACTCAAACAACCAGATCAGAGTATTTATAACTTAAACCCTAAGCCAACAAACTCATTAAAAAACTTACAATTAAGGCATGAAGATGATGCAATAAAGCAAGACAAGCATGAGTAAGAAAATAAAAATGATAAACAGAGTCAGAAGAAGGCAAAACGACGATCTACAATTCCTCTTTCACTTGTTCCTTGGTGTGTTGTTCTTCTATGAACTTGTCAAAGGCCCTAATGTTTTGATGTGGCTTTGGTGGTTCTGGTTTGGGGGTTTCTGTGAGTACTTTCTTCACGGTTTCTTCTTTTAGTTGAAAGGTTATTTCATTGTTTTATAAAGATTTTGGGGGTTGGATGATTGGTATAAAAGAAGAGGATAAGGCTTTATAACTGCTCACACAACTATCCATTTAGATTTCTTTTACAGGAAAAGAAAAATAGTGAAGCGAGATGAGGTTGAAGGGTTTTGAGATGAGGTTGAAGAAAAATAGTGAAGCAAGATGAGATGAGTTGGAACTTATATTGTTTTATTTTAAACAAACTGAGAACATGTCAATGCCATATATGTTGATTGGCTGAGTTGATTTAATGAAGGGCCTAAACAGTTGAATCGTTAAATGATAGGATGGACTCTAAACTTTTCTATAGTGCAATTTTTCAAATCTCGCCCAAATGGCAGGGGGGCGAATTGGCTATTAATCCTACTATAAAATATTTATTTATCAAATTTTAAATTTTTTAAAAATGAGAAGAATTAGATATGAATTTTTAAATTTTCAAAAGGTATTGATAAAAACAATGAAAATCTAGACTTAAAAATCAAATTTTGTGTTCTGTTTTTTCGAAGAACTTTTTATAACATTCTAAACATGTCTGTAAAATCATCATTCAAAAATACTAATCGGTTTAATAGTAGACACTAAAACTACGTGCATAATTATTTTGTAGGGACTAAAATATGTTGGTTTTTTTTATAGGGACCAAAATCAAAATTTGGTATTTTATAAGAACCAAAAATATATTTAACCCTAAAAAAAGTAGCCACGTGTTTTTAACGCCGCTACTTTTCAAAATAAATTAGCGACATGTTTTTCACACCACTATATATTTTTTGCAAATTTCAAATTTCCCCTTGTGAAAACCTGATTTTCAATTTTTATTTTATTTTAAATGGTTTGTGACGTGATTTTTACCTGACAACGTTTCTTTTTAGTGACGTGATTTTCACCTGACAACGTTTCTTTTTAGTGACATGATTTTCACGTGGCAATATCACGTCGCTGGAGACCTTATTTCTTGTAGTAAATATTATATGCTTGTTCACTTGATGATATATGCACAACTTTGAGAGATCCAACTTGAATCTTTTCTCTTATAAAGTAAATGTTCAGTTCAGAATGTTTAATGCGACAATATAGGATATCATTGAATGTAAGTAAGATAAAAATTATGATATCACAATGGATGAGAGGTTTTGAGGTTAATTTCATACATAAGACATTAAGGTTGCAATACTTTGATATTCGACTTCAATGCTTGATCTAGATACCAATGCTGCTTCTTAGAAGATCAAGAGATACGATTGTTGTCCAAGTAAACATAGTAATAGTGACATATATCCTATCATTAGGATCTGACCCCTAGCCTTCATCATGAATTACTGAGACATTGAGGTCATTTTATAAAGTAAAGGTTAATCTATAGGTTTATGTAACTTAAAGGTATCTAAGAACGCGTTTGACATCATTCTAGTGAGGCTCTTTTGGTGAGTGCATGAATTGGGACACCTTGTTGACAACAAAGGCCAAGTCAGCCCTAACTATGATAACATACTAAAGGTCTCCCATAATTAATCTATAAAGAGATGATTAATCAAAATTTTGGATATCACATAAGGATATTTTAGTATTTGAGGTCATATGTGTAGGCATGAGGTTGACATTAGCATATTGGCTTTTGAAGAAGGTCATTTATATATTTTGTTGAAGTTATGAAAAGAGATTTTTGAACTTGAATGTTAATAAACTAGTGAATATCACCTAGATCTTTTAAGGTAAAATGTTTGGGAAGGTAGTTGATGGATGAAGATAAGTTGCGTGTGATGAGAACATCATTAACATAGAGAAGAACGTATAAAATAATGGTCGAAGTAATTTTTGTAAAGAGGAGTGAAAACCTTATTGTGTGAGAAAGAATTGAAGCTTTTGAAATCAATCTCTCAGAACTTGTTTTAAGTCATAGATGAATTTTTAAAGTTTGCAAACCGTAGTTTATGTGGACTCTGGGAAGATGTTTGAAAGTTGTGTAATGTAAATGAATTTATCTAAGTTACCATTTAGAAAGATATTTTTTTGTCTTTTTGTTTGGTTGGCTAGTTTTTGGAAAAAGCCATGGTCAGAATGACATGAATGATCGTAGGTTCAATGACAAGGCTGCAGGTTTCTGAAAAGTCCAATCCTTCTTGTTGGTGATAACTTTTAACTCAAGTTTAAATTTGTATTTAGATATATTTTTATTTAATTTGAAACATGTTTGAATTGACTCTTTTATTTAATTTGAAATCTTTTTCACTTGACTTTTAAAACCATCTAAATAGATTATATAACTCTTGTTTTTATTTTAACTCTAACATGCCACCACGAGTTATCTTTGACCATTATTTTGACTATCGAAGACCACCATTTGTCACCACCCTGACATACAACTATCACTACTCCATTCACATGTGATTACCATTTTAACCACCATCACCTATCATTATGACCATCGCCATCAGCCACTCATACCATTACTCCAACCACTATGATCCCCACTTCGTCCATCCTTGATCATTAATTTGACAACCATTGACTATTAGGGGTGGAAAAATGAATCCTACCCGCTTGACATGTTCGTTTTCCTGACAATTGTTTGCAGGCATTGGTCCACCACCCTTGTTTTTTTTGGAGGAAACTAGTTTTAGAAGTTTAGGATTCATCAATTGCTACTTTTAGGATTTAGAAGTGTTTAGCAGGTCCACCCACCCCATTTTTTAGCATGGCGAATTCTAATTTTAGACATTCACTCTACTATGTCAGTCTCGCCCCGTCATATTTTCTTATGAATTTTCGTTGGATGGACTTGTTTGTTTGTCATCCATATTAACTACCACTATAGCAATCACTTTAACCACCACTAACAACCATATTGTCGACCACTTTATAGACATTTGATCACGAATCCTTTTATTATCAATTACCACTATTAATTTATTTTAAAAAATAAAGATATGTTGACACTAATTATCAAATTTAACATGAAATTAATTATTATGTATGGGCAACATAAAAAGTTTTACTTTAGATATATTTAAAATAAAAATCAAATATAATTTTAAATCTAATAGTTATCATTCATTAACAGTGTAAAATTTATAATAAAGGAAAATTTCAAGCAAGAAATTTAAAGTTTATAAATCAATAATAAAATAAACAGATGTTACAAATATATCCCAGCAAAAACTGAGGGTGAAATAATCAACACCGTTTGGGTGATTTAACTCTTGATGATCATATGGATTCATATTAATCCAATAACACATTACATGAACTCATTAGAATCTAAAATATGCAACGGGATTTCAAATTTCATTCTGTTATTACAACTGTCATAGCTTTCTTTCTCATCTTCTGTATTGCTCCCAATGATACACGTGGAGTTCGAATTCATCGGTGTTGGACTTGAAGATGGTGTTGATAGAACTTGGTTTGAAGTTTGATTAATCATAAGATTTTGATTATAATCAGAACCATAATATTGATTATAGCTTGATAATTGAGGGATATAATCCTCTTTAAAAGTACTTAAACCAAACCCATTATTTTCCAACCAATCAATATCAGGCACAGAATCTTGATTGTTGTAACTACTATGGTCGGTGAAATTTAATGGATATGTGTTCACATTTGGTTCAAACAAATGTGAATGATTATTAGGAAATGAAGAAGAAACACTTGAATTAGTACTAGGTACTTGTTGGATTTGGTCTTGGAATTGGACAAAATGTGAAAGTGGAACTTGGTTTTGTGTTTGAGGATTACAAGGTTGATTATTACTATAATCTTGTTGTTGTTGGTGGTGTGATGAGGTGTTGAAGAGTGAGGAAGCTAGTTTTAGAAGCTCAGGGTTCACCAATGGTTGTTGTTGCATGTTAAGGAGTGTTTGGAAGTTGTTGATTTGAGATGATGTTGATAATGATGATGGTGATGAGCCATAGAGAGATGAACATAGAATTGAAGAGAAGTCTAATAAATCAAGTCTTGGAGTATGTGTTACCGGGTTGATTCCCATTCTCAAAAGCCTTTTTCTAATGTGAGTGTTCCAGTAGTTCTTTATTTCGTTATCCGTTCTTCCTGGTAATCGAGATGCAATTGTAGACCACCTATAAAAAAGTTGAGATAGTTAATATGAGTGAAAAGTTCAACCATCTTTAACGAATGAAAAGTTCAACCATCTTTAAAGAAAAAGAAAAGATGTTTTACTTGTTTCCAAGAACACTATGGAGCTGAATTATCGTTTCTTCCTCTTCAAATGAAAATCGACCACGTTTTATATCAGGTCGGAGATAATTTGTCCAACGAAGACGACAACTTTTGCCACATCTTTGCAAATCTATTATTCAATTAAAAAAACAAACCAATTAATATATGTATCAGACAAATTATAAAAGTCTGGTGATTGACGTTGAATTTGATAGAGATGACTATTGTTTGATTCCGCAAGTTGATATATTTGGTTCATATGTGAAAGTAATGTATAAACATACCGGCATTTTTTGGGAGTGTTCTCCAATTGCCATAACCATGTTTTTGAATGTAATCAATGAGTTTTTCATCCTCTTCAGTTGTCCATGGTCCTTTCTTGAGACCATTATTCTTGTCACAGCAAGGTGTTCTTCCCATATCAAAGTGCTTAATTACTTCTAGCTGCTCAAATTATAGTTTGGTTGTAGCACAAGAGAGAAACGTGAAAGAATAGAGTAAGAAATTAGAAGGTGAGGAAGAAAATGAAATGATTGTAGGGTCCTTAATGGGACGTAGATGAGAGATTGTTATGGTATAAATAGGAAAAAAGATAGTGAAAAGTGTTACGATTAGAAGTCAAATAGATTCGGTGCCGTCCCCTGTAATCTTTGTTTGACCAAGCTTATACGTGTCTACCTACTGTGCATTAATCTCTTCTTCATTATTTTTTTAATTGAAAAAAATGCCACTAATTAAACATATTAGTGAAAGAATTTTTTAGTTACACTTCTAAATAAGGATTAATAGACGAAATATATCACTAGTAGAAATTGAATTAACTCGAGTGAATCAATTTCTTGTCAATTAAGTTAATCAACATTAATTAACGAAAGCTTCTAATTCAATCTAAACCATTTTTCTGAATTAATTTAATTAATGGGAGTGATTATCCACAAATATTTATTAAAAGATCAAGGATTAAGGCATCATTTTCTTTGGAGTGTGACCCTTAACTTTATGGATTCATATTAGCTGTCAAAAATGAAATGCCACGTACCCTCTCTAGTTCTTTCCAATGCCTTGTTACAAGGGTATGTATACGCGGCGTTCATTATTTTCTTCTTTATTAATGCAATGCATGGGAGTGTCTTTGATCTATCTGTTTTTTTTCTTTCTTTTGCTAAAGCCTTTATGTTGGATTGCTAGCTACTCATGACCTCACTACATTATAATAACTGTTTAATTTATTGACCAATCAATCTCTTATCTAGCTCCAATCATGCAGCATTGCATGTGATAAGTACTGCTGCTACTTCCATAAGAGTTGGATATAAAATACTTTTTCTATACTTCCATAAGAGTTGGATATAAAATACTTTTGGTTTACACTATAGGACTTGTAAACCCCGCAATCTATCACATTTCTATAGTAAAATATGACGTTGATATTATGTGATGTGTCATGTTACTATATTTATCATAATGTTATAACTATTAGAGATGATTTATATTCAGAAATTATTATTAATCAGAAGTAGAAATTTCTGAAGTTGTATTCTAGAAGTATAGTTAGTTTCCGGAGTTCTAGTTTATTTGTTAACTTAGTTATTAAGAATTATTTTTTGATAGGGCTTACGTGACAGTTTATTTTGTGTATATTGTTAGCTTTAATTTATATTTAGATATTGATTTATATTTAGGAATGACTTTTAGAGGATATTATTATATCTTTGTTAGAAGATATAATTTTGTGTATAAACAGTCTAGTGGAGTAGGTTATTGTAATTAATTGTAAATCCTTATTTAGAAGCTGTAAGTAAATATATTGCGTTTGCCTTTTATCTCTTCATTGTGCTCCAACAATTGGTATCTAGAGCTTTTGGTTAAAAACTCTGGAATTTGGGAAACATTGTTTCATTGATAGAAATTCTGGGATTTGGGAAACATTGTTTTTCATTGAGTTTCTGCGTAAATTGCACAAGGTAGAAGATGAACGGAAACGACGGCGATATCCATTCCAAGCTTCCAGTATTTGATGGCAAAAACTAGAATCATTGGAAGATCCAGATGCGCGTGTTATTTGGTTCTCAAGATGTGTTAAATCTTGTCACCGATGGCTATAATCTGTCAGAAGCAGACGCAACAGAGGCATAGAAGATAACACAGAAGGCGCTGGGGAAGAAAGACCAGAAGGCGCTGGGGAAGAAAGACCAGAAGGCGTTGTTCTACATCCATCAATGTGTGGATGCAAATGTATTTGAGAGGATTGTTGATTCTGAAACAGCGAAGGCTGCATGGGACACACTGGCCAGATGTTACGGTGGTGACGCATCAGTGAAAAAGGTGAAGCTTCAGTCTCTCAAAAAGCAATATGAGAATCTCAACATGAAGGACAACGAGAAGGTTTCTGAGTACATCTCTAGAGTTATTCTGATCACTAATGAGATGAAAGCTTGTGGAGAAACCCTTTATAAACAAACAGTCATTGAGAAGATCTTTAGATCTTTAACTTCTCAGTTTGATTACATTGTGGTAGCAATTGAACATTCCAAAGATCTAAGCACCATGAGAGTTGAAGAGCTGCAAAGTAGTCTAGAGGCGCATGAGTTGCGTATGACTGTGAGAACTTCTGAGAGGGAAGTAGAGCAGCAGGCTCTGAAAGAAACTTCTGGTAAGAAGTATCAGAAGCAGACTTGGTCAGAAGCCAGAAAGAAAACTAAGGGTGGTCAAAGGTCAGAAGCTTCAAACTCTGATAGGCAGAAGAATGTCCAGAAGGGAAAGAAGAAGTATGACAAGAAGAATGTTCAGTGTTACTGTTGCAAGAACTTTGGTCACTATGCCAAAGATTGTTGGTCAAACAAAGAAAGGAATTCAGAAGAAGCAAATATAGCCAGAGGAGAGTCAGATGATGAACCTGTGCTATTTATGGCTTATGAATCTGATGAGGAACCAATGAAATTGTCATTTTCTGATTCTGAAGGGGAAGAATATAACTCTTAATATTCTGATTATGGAGTGTTTGAATACAAGTCAGAATCAGAAGACGACGCTGAAGATTTCGAAGACAAGTCAGAATCCGAAGAAGATTCTGATTCCGAAGAGTCAGTGTAAGATTAAGATTGCGCCTAAGAGGGGGGGTGAATTAGGTGATGGTCGATTTTTGACTTATTTTATACTTTCTGGTTTTGATATAGTGCTTTGAAAACTGTAAAGTGCAGAAAGTAAAGAGACACGGAGAATTATCCTGGTTCCTTCCACAACCCGGAAGTACGTCCAGTCCCCTTGCAAACACGCAAGAGATTTTACTATATTGTTAGAACTTTTACAAGACTCTTCCTAGTCTTATCCACTAAAGAACCTAACAAATAACCAAGAACACCCTCTTGGATTTCCAATAAGTCTAATGAGAACAATCCTCTCAAAAGATACCTCTTGTTTCCAACAATGGACAACAAGGAACAAAAAATAATCTAATACTTAATTCCAACAATCCTGGAAATAAGTTACACTTTGTATGTTTTTATGAAGTATGATTTCTTGAAAGATGTTGATCACTTAGAGTGACTTCTTTGAAGTTTCTTCTTTCTTCTCTTGTAAGCAATTCAAACTGTAACACAATGGTTAGATAATGCTCAAAGATTTCTGTTCTTTATATGTGTGAAAGTGCAGAAAATCTTTGTTCTTAAAAGTTAAGAAATATGAAGTTTGAATATTTTACAAAGTTCAGATTTTATTGCAAGAGAAGAGATGTTTATGATTTGAAATATTTTGTAATATATAGTAATCAAGATACCTTTCCAAAAGGACACTTTTCTGTTTGTAAAACTTGACAAGATGCAATGTTTGATCATGCAACCATTGGAGAAAAGGTATGAAGGATATCTTGAAACCAGTTCAGATTTTTCAAAATTTTCAATGTGCAAATCGATTAACATAACATGCAAATCGATTGCACGTGTTTGTAACGTTCAGAATTTCAAAAAGTTTGAAGTGTAAATCGATTAGCATGTAGTGTCAATCGATTTACAAGTGTTAAAAAATCAGTTTGTTCTGTGATCAATCGATTTACACAACCTGTAAATCGATTGCTGGCAGGAGCAAACAGTTTTTGAAAAAAGCATGTGTAAATCGATTTACACAAGATGTTAATCGATTTACAGCAGAGAAAAACTTAAAAATTGTTTTGAAATATACTTGAAGTGATGTGGCAAGTGTGTATATCATTTTTGAGCATTTCTAATCAATGTAGTTTAATTGAGAATTGATATACTTGATTGCTTGCCAAGTTCCTTGAAGCTTTCTTTAAGATGATTTCCACTTCTTTTCCTTCTTTCCATAATGCTTGTTTGTCTTTCATCAAACTAGCTTGTTTGTCTTTCATCAAAACTAAAGTTGAGTTGAGGCTTGAGATTACATTCTCCCCCTTTTTGATGATGACAAACCATTTTCCTTTATGTGTTGATCAGAATTTGAGCAAAAGGTGTTTTCTCCCCCTGAGAAGATTTCTCCCCCTATGGAGAAAAAGATTTGAAAATTTGCTCTGTAAAGACAATGAAAACAAACAACCATAAAGTGCTATTACATCCTTCTCCCCCTTTGACATTATCAAAAAGAAGGGAAAGATGCAACAAGAAAGTATACCAGAAAGAAATGTATAGAGAAAATACAAAAAAATGCTTCAGATTCTGTGGTAAATCGATTTACCCCTTGGTTAAATCGATTTACACAGAACATTTTCATAAAAAGTAATTTTCGTTCAGTGGTAAATCGATTTACATATTGTGTAAATCGATTTACACACAAGATTTTATTAAAAAAATGATTTGCTTCAGTAGTAAATCGATTGACATATGGTGTAAATCGATTTACTTAAAGAGAAAATTTAAAACATCATTATTTTTAACATTTGAAACAATGTCTAACCACATATATATGTACATTAAGGTATAGTCAAGGATTGAGTGCAGCTTAAATATCTTGTTCATCGAGGATTCCAAGTTCACGACGAATTTTGAAAAATGCATCCTTTGCAAGTGGTTTTGTGAAGATGTCCGCGAGTTGATTTTGAGTGTCCACAAATGTGATCTCGACATCTCCTTTGAGTACATGGTCTCGGATGAAATGATGTCTGATGTCAATGTGTTTCGTCCGGGAATGCATAACTGGATTTTTCGTAATATTGATCGCGCTTGTGTTATCACATCGAAGAGGAATGCATCCAAGGTTTACTCCATAGTCAAGTAATTGTTGTTTTAGCCAAAGAATTTGAGCGCATCCACTTCCAGCCGCAATGTATTCTGCTTCGGCAGTGCTGAGAGCTACGCTTGCTTGCTTTTTGCATGACCATGAAACCAAGGCATTTCCAAGAATGTGACATGTTCCACTTGTACTTTTGCGATCAGTTTTGCAACCTGCATAGTCAGCATCAGAATAACCAA